GCTCCCTATGGGGCCACGAACCCTGTGAGGGGTGCGCCGAAATGAGGGTGGAACTGCATGCGAACGCTGCCACTGGGGCCTTTGGTGAAGCTCCCCATGGGGCCACGAGCCCTGTGAGGGGTGCGCCGAAATGAGGGTGGAACTGCATGCGAACGCTGCCACTGGGGCCTTCGGTGGAGCTCCCTATGGGGCTACGTACCGTGTGAGGGGTGTGCCGAAACAAAGACATGCAAGGGGCAGAGGCAAGGAGGGAGAGGGAGGGGAGGCAGCGGGAGGAGAAGGAAGGCGGACGCGGGCGCCGTCTCTTCAAAACGAGGACCCAACGCCACAGGATGGTTGGAAATAAAGGGGAGGAAAAGAAAAACAAAAACAAACAAACAAAACATGATGGACCCACGAACCCGGAAAGGGATATAGACATGTGCAGCATGGTCACGTTTTCACGATATCCAACTGGGCGACACCTCACGAAACATCCCACGAGACACCCCGCGAAACATCCCAGGAGACACCTCACGAAACAACCCACGAGACACCTCACGAAACATTCCACGAGACACCCCGTGAAACATTCCACGAGACACCCCACGAACAGGCAACCACTCAACCAGACACCCCACGAAACATTCCACGGGGGTGCGACTGGGTGTGGTCGTGCTGGGGTGTGGTCGTGCTGGAGTATGGTCGTGTTGGGGTGTGGTCGTGCTGGGGTGTGGTCGTGCTGGGGGGTGGTCGTGCTGGGGGGTGGTCGTGCTAGGGGGGTGGTCGTGCTGGGGGGTGGTCGTGCTGGGGCGTGGTCGTGCTGGGGCGTGGTCGTGCTGGGGCGTGGTCGTGCTGGGGTGTGGTCGTGCTGTGGTGAGGTCGTGCTGGGGTGTGGTCGTGCTGGGGTGTGGTCTTGCTGGGGTGGGGTCGTGCTGGGGTGTGGTCGTGCTGGGGTGTGGTCGTGCTGGGGTGTGGTCGTGCTGTGGTGGGGTCGTGCTGGGGTGGGGTCGTGCTGGGGTGTGGTCGTGCTGGGGTGTGGTCGTGCTGGGGTGTGGTCGTGCTAGGGTGGGGTCGTGCTGGGGTGGGGTCGTGCTGGGGTGTGGTCGTGCTGGGGTGTGGTCGTGCTGGGGTGTGGTCGTGCTGGGGCGTGGTCGTGCTGGGGTGGGGTCGTGCGGGGTCGTGCTGGGGTGTCGTGCTGGGTGTGGTCGTGCTGGGGTGGTCCGCACCCTGTGATTTATCGATCGGGTCGTGCTGGGGTGTGGTCGTGCTGGTGCTGGGGTGTGGTCGTGCTGGGGTGTGGTCGTGCTGGGGTGTGGTCGTGCTGGGGTGTGGTCGTGCTGGGGCGTGGTCGTGCTGCGGCGTGGTCGTGCTGGGGTGTGGTCGTGCTGGGATGTGGTCGTGCTGAGGTGGCCCGCACCCTGTGATTTATCGATCGGGATTTCAAAAACAAGCGTTTCGCCTGAGACATCCTCAAATTGTAATCCGCCGGCCTCCTTCGACCTCGATATTTATCAGGGAAAGAATCCGCCGGCCTCCTTCAAGTTGGGCACCGGGGACATTGTTTACATACTAAAAGAGAACCCTGGGCCTATGCCCTTTCCGGGAAAAACGGGAAGGCCCAACTCAGCAGGCCAGCTTGGACGCCACTCCTCGGCGCCACTGCGGGGGCGCCACCTCTTGCCGGCACCGCTTCCCCCGGCGGACTTCGCTCGGCGCCGAGCCTCGCCCGCGGACCCACCTCACGCATACCTGTTCCGTCGCAGCGCGGCAGCGGCAGTCCGCACGCGCGCGCAGCAAGCCAGGAGACGGCATTGCGAATTGGCCTCGCGTTGCGAACAAAACACGACGGGGAGTTTTCCGCTGGGTTCGGCTTCCGAGGGGCCTTACAGGGCCCCGGGATCGTCAAAAACCGAATCGGGATGAAAAACAGGTCCGAGGGAAGGGGTCCAGACCCTCTGGAGGTCGACGTTGTGAGGAAATCATGACGTCGGGGGTCTGGGAGATGGAAGAGGCGAGAGGAGCGGCCGCGAGAGGGGGGAGGAGGGGGAGCAGAGTGCGCTCACGCAGCTGGGACCGCGGCGGGGCGTTCGGGGCGGCCGAGCCGGAGCAGCACCCCTGGCAGCGGGCACGGGGCGACGTCGCAACCACACCCAGGGTCTGGGCAGCGGCTGCAGGGCGCGTCGTCGAGGACCAGCAAAATGGGGAGGAAGGCGGACAGCCGAGGCAGCGGCCGACGGAGGACCCGGGAGGCAAAAGGCCAGGAATCAGGTGGGCGGCTGCTGGGCGGGCGGCGTTGGGGCAGGCTGCAGCGGCGGACCAGATGGGCGACGGGACGGCCCAGCCCGAGGGGGGGGGGGGGCGACACGGCCAGCGGCGGCGGAGGCGGGAGCGCGTCCGCAGCGCAGGCCGCAGCTGCGGGCCCGAGGTGGGGCGGCGGGGGCCCCCGACACCGGCCCGGGGGCGGGGGCAGGGCGACCGCGAAGCCCCGGGCGGCAGCAGGGAAGGCGACGGCGGCGCGGGGCCCGGGGGCACGCGCAGAGCCGCAAAAGCGGGCGGAGAGAAAAGGGGCGGGGGGGGAAGGGCACCGGTGCCAGGCCAGGGCGGGCGCACGCCTCACAGCCTTTGGGCAGGCGGCGCCCGGCCAAGGTCGGGGCGGGGAGAGGGCTCCCGGCGACGAGGCGGCCGGGAGGCAAGGGCAAGGAAGGCACGCGAGGGCCCGCGACAGCCGAGCTGGGAAAGTCCCGAGGCCAAAATGCGCAGGGACACCAGCCGCGCCAGGCGGCCTGTTGGCAGCGGAGGCGACACGCGCCCGCGACGCGCGCACGCCATGGCTGCGTAGCTGGGACAGGGCAACGAGGACCCGAGGCTGGCCATGGGGCGGGGGCGGGGCAGCCGCGAGGCCCGGCTGGCAGCGCGGACGCCAGCTGCAGCGCTGGATGGCGCACAGCAGCAGGCACGAGAGGGGAGCAGCAAGGCCAGGCCCAGGCCGGCGCACGCATGACGGCGCCGAGGGCAGGCGACGCCCAGCCCAGAAAAGGGGGGGAGGGCGCAGGCCCCCGCAGCTGAGCTGCAGGGAGGCGGGAAAGTGCGCGGCGCGGAGGCGCAGACACCCACCCAGAGGTCCGATGTCGTGATTGTTCCATACGCGGCCCCCCAAGGTCTCGACCCCTTCCCCAGGACCGGCTCTCGTCGTCCTGGGCCGTTTCTTGACGGTCCCGGGGCCCGGCGAGGGCCCCGCCCCTACAGGGGCCGAAAGTTGGGAAAAAGTCCCGCTCTGGTTTTTGGAAGCACTTCGGATGTTTTCAATACGTTGGGTCTCTGGGCAAGTCGGCGTGGCAGCCGGGCGCCCTCTGCACGCCCTCGCGGGCCAGCAACAGGCGCCGGGGAGCGGCCGCCAGTGGGCGCGCGCGCGCGGCCACGTGCCCGCGGCGTGTGCTACGCCGGGGGCGGAGCCCCGGGCGGCAGCAGCATAGCCTTAAGTCGGGCTTGTCCCCCTACAGGGGGATTTTCGACGAAAAATGAAACATACCCCAAAAATAGTCCAAAAACAGTCCCAAACATGATGGACCCACGAACCCGGAAAGGGATATAGACATGTGCAGCATGGTCACGTTTTCACGATATCCAACTGGGCGACACCTCACGAAACATCCCACGAGACACCCCGCGAAACATCCCAGGAGACACCTCTCGAAACAACCCACGAGACACCTCACGAAACATTCCACGAGACACCCCGTGAAACATTCCACGAGACACCCCACGAACAGGCAACCACTCACCCAGACACCCCACGAAACATTCCACGGGGGTGCGACTGGGTGTGGTCGTGCTGGGGTGTGGTCGTGCTGGAGTATGGTCGTGTTGGGGTGTGGTCGTGCTGGGGTGTGGTCGTGCTGGGGTGTGGTCGTGCTGGGGTGTGGTCGTGCTCGGGGGGTGGTCGTGCTGGGGGGTGGTCGTGCTGGGGCGTGGTCGTGCTGGGGCGTGGTCGTGCTGGGGCGTGGTCGTGCGGGGGTGGGGTCGTGCTGTGGTAAGGTCGTGCTGGGGTGTGGTCGTGCTGGGGTGTGGTCTTGCTGGGGTGGGGTCGTGCTGGGGTGTGGTCATGCTGGGGTGGGGTCGT